CAATATGTGGATGTTTGGTAATAGGAAGTTATCCTTCGGACTTGCCTTGTTGAGATCACGGTAATCAACGCACACCCTGGTCCTACCATCCTTCTTTGGTACAGGCACAACGTTGGCTAACCAGGTGGGATACCGTGTGACCCGAATGACCTTTGCCTCGAACTGCTTGGTGACCTCTTCTTTGATCTTCACACTCATATCAGTTTTAAATTTTCTCAGCTTCTGCTTGACAGGGGGAAATGCCGGGTTAGTGGGCAATTTGTGGACCACCAAGTCAGTGGTGAAACCCGGCATGTCGTCATATGACTATGCAAAAACATCTTTGTACTCCAAAAGTGCTTTAATTATCTCTTCTCTGAGCTGTGGTTCAAGATGGACGCTTATTTTAGTTTCCCGGACATTATCTTGATCCCCTAAGTTGATTGTTTCTGTATCATTCAGGTTAGGTTTGGGTTTTTCTTCAAAATGGCTTAATTCTTTACTGATCTCTTCAAAAGCCTCATCATCATCATATTCCACTTCATCATCACACTCAATTTCTTGTATTATTATTTCAGAATTAGATTGGCATTTAAGACTGGGCCGGAGATTCCTCATGCATGTCATGTCACTGAAACCAGCATAAGAAGGACTGTACAAGAAAGAAAAGAAAAACAAAAATAAAAACTATCAGGAATGAAAAAGAAGGGAAATTGCATTTCATTGAAATTTAAAGATAACAAGGTTTAACTCATCCAAATGGACGGAACATAGAATCTGAATTACAACCCTGGAAATAATCCAGATTAAACTGAAAGAAAAATCAAAGCCGACTACCACGACTCCCTCCGAGTAGGAAGAGGAGTAGCTTCCCAATTGTTGATCTTTGCACTGGGCCCCACGAATTGCACATCCGCCTTGCTCGATCCCTCTCCAGCTTCCACCATATTCACCTCGTCGAACAGCTTTTCAAACCTTTCAAGCAACTCCTTATCAGGACCAACCACAGAACCGGGCATTGTTGTTGCTGGGCGCTTCTTAGTACCAGGCCTGACAAAGGATCGGAAGAGACGGGGGACAGGCTTTGGAAGAACCCATGCTCTCTGTTTCAACTTTCTGGCTCGCCTTATGTCTGCAGTTGTAGGCTTGAACCCCAAACCAAAGGTATCCAAGTTTTTGGGAAGAGACACCGGCTGTACGATACCTTGCAGAGACGCACCCAAACCCTTGCCAGGTACGAAGCCATTCTTCAACATCTCAGAAGCCACCATGACTGATGCGGCTGCTACCTTCGGAATTGGAACACACTCCCCTTCTGGGATTTTCTTGACTGACACTGTGTCTGAAACCTGATAGATCCACGACCCCTTGTCGTCTTCAACTTCGATGAAAGGTATGATGGCATCATTCTGGGCACACAAACCATCCTCGCCGTGCACCACAATTTCCTGTCTGTCCCATTCAAATTTAACCATCTGGTGCAAGGTAGATGACACTGCCTTGGCGGCATAAATCCAGGGTCGGCCTAGCAAAAGATTGTAAGAAACCGCCACATCCAGCACCTGAAATTCCATAGTAAATTCAACAGACCCTATTGTCAGCACCAGCACTATGTCCCCGACTGAATCTTTCCCTCCACCGTCGAACCCCCGAACGCAAATACTGTTCTTGTGAATTCTTTCATTGTCCACTTTCAATTTGTCCAGGGTGGAGAGAGGGTAAATCTTTGCGCTGGACCCATTATCAATCAGTACCCGGGTAACCACGAAATCCTCGCACTTCACCGTAAGATAGAGGGCTCTGTTATGCTCGGTACCCTCCATGGGCAATTCATCATCAGAAAAAGTGACTCTGTTTACCTCAAAGATCTTGTTTGCTATCTTTTCCAGATGGCTTACAGAGATCTTGTCAGGAACGTGGGCCTCATTCAAGATTTTCATCAACGCCCGGCGGTGCTCGTCCGAATGGATTAACAATGAGAGCAATGAGATCTGAGCAGGGGTCTTCCTCAATTGCTCTACAATAGAATAATCCTGCACTTTCATCTTCCTCAAGAACTCTTCTGCCTCTTCTTCGGTCACAGCTTTCTTCACTAACACTGGGTTATCTTTGGAGGTATTGGCTTTTCTTAACTCCTCGGGGGCAAAGCACCTCCCCGAGCGAGTCAATCCATGGGTCTCGCAGACTTCTTAACCTCTTTCCCTTTGTAACTCACTGTCATTCGGCCATAATTCCAAGGGACGGCCTTGATATTGATTATTGGTAGCTGAGTCACTGGTTTGATAATAACAGGCTCTGTGCGAGCACCCTCCACGACTACAACAGGCTTTTTTGCTGCCCCTGGTACCACTACTTTTGCTTTTCCTGTTTCACTACAACCCCGCTTGAGGACTCCTTCTCAATTACCACAACTGGTTTACTGTCTGTCCTTTCAACTTGATCAAAGACTTCTCACTTGTTGACTTGACAATCGGCCTGACTTCACAGGACCGATCATCATTACAGTCTGCGAGGGCTTCTTAGGCTCCCCTCCTTTATGCACTATCTCGATCATATTGGTCTCATGATGGGCCGACAACGGATTCTGGTTGATATTGGGCGCTCTAAGGCTTGAACTCGATCCGTTGGGTATCAATGAGCTCTTGAATAGCTGTGTTCAAGTGCCAGCATTTCTCTGTGTCATGCCCTGGAGCACCTGAACAATACTCACAATTCACCAAGTGGTCAAGATTTCTCGGAAGGATTCGGCAACTTACGCTCAATCGGATTCAACATACCCAATTGTCTCAAACTATGGAATAGACTAGTATATGATTCTCCCAATGAAGTGAAAGTCTTCTGCTTCTGCACCCTCTCATTCTTGAAGGCTTAATTTGGTCGGAAACCTATCCAAGGGGGATTTCTGTAAGCTCTTGGGGGTGGATAGGTATTTTGTGGAGCTAGGTAGGTATTCTGTAGGGTTGGCGCACGCCATTGTGCGTGGGCAGGAGGTTGAGTGTATGTTTGAGCGTGATGGACAGTAAAATAGGGAACTGGCGATGGGTAGTAGTGTTGTGGTGGGCTTTATGGAGTGCGGGGGTAAGTTGGGTGGTGGGGTCGAGGCTGGTTATAGTAAGGTGATGGGCCCCTGGACCAAGCTCTTGACTCAATTACCGCAACGTCCTCTTTCTTCTTCTTTCCCAGTACACCCCCAGTGCCGTTTTGAATGGCCTGGGTGGTCGCCTTAATTGCTGAATAACTCATGATTTTGGTAGTTTTGAGTCCTTCCTCTACCATGCTTCCCATTTTTACCACTTCATTGAAGGATTTCCCTACCGCTGAGACCAAGTGACCAAAATAAGTAGGCTCTAAGGCCTGCAAGAAGTAGTCGACCATTTCACTCTCTTTCATCGGAGGGTCAACCCTCGCTGCTTGCTCTCTCCAACAGATGCCATATTCTCTAATACTCTCACCGGGCTTCTTCTCAATCTTGGTCAATGACAAAAGGTCTGGAACAATTTCAATATTATACTGAAAATGGCAGGCGAATGCTTGGGCTAGATCGTCCCAAGTGTACCACCGACAATGATCTTGTCGGGTGTACCATTCCAAAGCCGAGCCACTTAAACTTTGACTGAAATAAGCCATCAGTAATTCATCTCTCCCGCCTGCTCCTCTCATCTTGCTACAAAAACCTCTCAGGTGTGCCACTGGATCACCATGCCCGTCGTATAAATCAAACTTAGGCATCTTAAACCCTGCTGGTAGTTGAACATCTGGGAACAGACATAGGTCTTTATACGCCACGCTTACTTGACCACCTAACCCCTGCATATTCCTAAAAGATTGTTCCAAGCTCTTGACTTTCCTAAACATCTCCTCCTGCTCAAGATTCTTAGGTGGCTTCTCAGTCTCTGCCGGGATATCAAAATGAGGAGTGTCGGAATATGGTTCTGGAGCTTTGAAGGTAGGTTATGGGGGGTAATACTGGTTGTCGTGAGTCTGGAACAGAGGCTCACTAGAAGATCGGTGTAATGCAGCAGGTGGAGATGCCACAAAGACAGGAGTGACTGGTAGATGAGGGTATGGGACTTGTTTGGGTGGTGGAGCTGATGGTGTTTGGGAAGTGGTGCCATAGCATTGTTGGTAGGGGGGAAATGCTTGAGATGAATTCACAGTAGGGATACAAGCAGAGTTGGCGGATAAACCGGTGGTGGATGCCCTTTTGCCCAGGCCTGGTACATTTCAGCCATTTGCTGCTTTAACTTATACATCGATTCCTTCATCGAATTAACATCCAACTTTTCCACCTCTTTTGACGGATCGACAATACTTGCCTCTAGTTCTTGGTTGGCCATGTTCAGCTTGTCTTTTGACCGGCTGTGATAGGAGTGAGTTGCCAGAATGCCAATCAACTAACCACCTGCCTGGGCTCAATACATCAACAACAACCTTGTTAGCGATTAGGGCTTTAACAGATTGGTAACCGCACATTTTGAGGAATGAATGCACCTAAGAAGTTAACCGTTTCGATTATGCATTTGCTCGGCTGCTTAGCATCATCCCGGCCTTTCCTTATTTCCATTCGCAACTTCTTTTATTCCCTCTTTTTTTTTTCATTCTTGCCTTTGCTTTCTCTTTGTTTTTATTCTCTCATTTCCCTCTTATTTTTCCATTGCTTCCTTCTCTCGGTTTCTTATTTTCTCTCTCTTCTTTTCCTTTCTCTCTCTTGTTTTTCCTCTCTTTTTCCTTTTCCCCTTTTTGTATTTGGTTACGGTCGAATCCTATGGAGATTGCCTACGTATCATCACACCGCATGAATCAGACCAAGCGTAGTTCTTGGGGATATAAATGAAAAATAAATGACAGAAATATTTTGGGGTTTTCAACCTTTCATCGAAGCAAATACTTTGATTATAATGACTCGAAAAACTCACAGACTCAAAATAAATTAACAGACTCTGAAAAGATGAAAATACAGACTCATACTCAAAAAAAACTAACAAAATCCAACAGCAAGAAAGTACAGTCTCAAGCAAAGATCACGAATACATTAATGCCTCGAATGCTCCTGGGGCCTGCGGGGCATCATTCGGCCTCGCCACGGGCCTATATGCAAGATCCCCTTGGAGCCTTTCCAAATCACTCATTATTTGCCGGACAAATGTCATCATTGTCGTAAAGAAACTGGTGCGGGTCATATCCTCACATGCTTGATACTTCACAACAATGTAATCGGCAATGGCCCTGACCCTCTCTCGGATCCTACCCTTTTCCTAAAGCAGACACCCGAACTGCTAATTCCGGGCTTCTAACACCTGAGTGTCGTGAGATGTTGATTTTGCAACTATTGCACTTCCTCCTCCATCTGAGCCATCAGATCATAACAGTGTTCCCTTTCAGCTTTGAAATCCTTGGCTTGCTTGATCATTTTGTTCTCGACGGTGATGACCCTTTTCTTTAACCCCGCAACCTCATTGTTGTATTGCTCTTTTAACTGTCTAACCAGGCGTGCTCTTTCTTTCGTATTCTTAGCCTGTTGTGTTCGAGCCCTGGCTAGTTCATCCTCCGCTTTGTTCAAATCAAAACCATAATCATCCACTTTCTGCCTAAGGTTCTTTATAAGCTTTTCATCCTTTAGACTCCTGACGGGATTTTCGGCTGCTATGTTCATTTCTCGAATTTGAGCTCGAAGGGCTTCATTTTCTTTGGCTAGCTTCTTCTTTTCACCCTCATCCGCCGCTGCTTGCAAACTGTTTTCAAACTGAAGGTCCCGGACCTGCTTTTCCAGCTATCCTATTTTGGCCCTGTATTCTTTCTCCTTGGCCAACCAGTCCCATTGCACCTGTGCTCCGTCGGTGAACTGTTGGACATGGGGTCTCTTTGCGGGCCTTTCAGGCTCCTGATGAACTCGGGATCTTTTACCATACCAAGCAGGGTACCCAGGCTCCAACTCACCTCTAGATAGATCTCGTACTTGAGTTTTAGGCTCTAA